GGTGGCGAAGAGTCGTTTGGAAACTTGGTAGAGCTTGAACCGGCCCCCCCACAAAGTGGGGGTTTTGCCCGCCTCCTATGAAAACCCTGGCACTGGTGAGAACGGAGTGTCCCCACGTGCTAGTAATTGTTGTTGTTGTTGTTGTTGTTGTTGTTGTTGTTGTTGTTGTTGTTGTTGTTTGTTGTCGTCGTCCCACCCGCAACCCGCCCCGCGACCCACCCGCGACCCACCCCGCGACACACCCGCGACCCACCCGCGACGCACCCGCGACCCACCCGCGACCCACCCCGCGACCCCACCCGCGACCCACCCCGCGACCCACCCCGCGACCCACCCGCGACACACCCCACGACCCACCCCGCGACCCACGCGCGACCCACCCGCGACCCACCCGCGACCCACCTCGCGACCCGCCCGCGGCCCACCCCGCGACCCATCCGCGACCCACCCGCGACCCACCCGCGACCCACCCGCGACCCACCCGCGACCCACCCCGCGACCCACCCCGCGACCCACCCCGCGACCCACCCGCGACCCACCTTCGACCCAAACCACGTTCAAGGTACAAACCAACATTTTCGGCGCCTGCGGCGGGCTTTTTTTGCATTCCTTCCAGGTAAAGAGCCCGCGACCCACCCCGCGACCAACTCGCGACCAACCCGCGACCCAAACCACATTCAGAATACAAACCACATTTTTCGGCGCCTGCGGCGGGCATCTTTTGCATTCGTTCTAGGTGGAGAGACCGCGGCCCACCCGCGACCACGTTCAGGGTACAAACCAATTTTTTCGGCGCCTGCGGCGGGCATCTTTTGCATTCGTTCCCGGTGGAGAATCCGCGGCCCACCCGCGACCCAAATCACGTTCAGTGTACAAACCAAATTTTTCGGCGCCTGCGGCGGGCTGCTCTTGCAGGAGGAGGAGGAGGAAGAGGAGGAGGAGGAAGAGGAGGAGGAGGAGGAGGAGGATGAGGAGGGGGAGGAGGAGGAGGAGGAAGGAGACGACGACGACGACGACGACGTCTACGACGACGACGACGAAAAGGAGGAGGGGGGAGGATCGGGAGGGGGGAAGGGGAGGACGACGAGGAGGAACATGACGACAATGGGAGGACGATGATGGAAGGACGAGGGGGGGGAGGGAGGACGAGGAAGAAGAGGAGGAGGAGGAGGAGGAGGAGGAGAAGGACGAGGTGGAGGAGGAGGACGACGACGATGACGATGAGGACGAGGACGAGGACGAGGAAGAGGAGGAGGAAGAGGAGGAGGCGGAGGAGGAGGAGGAGGAGGAGGAGGAGGAGGAGGAGGAGAGCGCCATCGACAGGGAAGGTGGGGGCCACGAGGTCCGCTGGCTTGACGACGCCCGCGTCGCCCGCGCCCGCCCCCTCACTCTTATCCGCAATTGCGGGGTGCTACGTTAAACTCCGATTTCCCCCCGTTAAACTCCAACTAAGGAACACGGAGCCCCTCCCAAACGAAAAGGGTTCCTTAGTCAGCGCCCCGACTGTAGAGGATCTCTGGGATCCAGCGACCCTGGAGGATATTGTCGAGCGCCGCGGCCTTCTCAGAGCGTTCTGGCAGGCTCTGAGAGCGTTCCGGAGCGCTCTGGAACGGATCCGTTTTTATCCTCGTCCTGGCCCCATCCGACCAGTGGCCCTGCGCGGGAAGAAGGCGCGCGGCGGAGGGGCGCGCACAGGGGGGTCCGGGGAGCGTGCAAGGCTTCTTGGAAGGAGGCTGCTCCTTAACAGGCGCTGGCCCTACATCTACAGGCACGGCCCGCGCCTTCTGAGAAGCAGGGTGCTTCTAAGAAGCCTTGCCCCGTCCCCCTACAGTGAACCCGCGTAGCAGGGGCGCACAACAAGGATGCAAGGGCCTTGGAAGGCCATGAAGACCCTTTGCGAACGGGGCGCGGCCAGCGAAAGCGGCCAACGATGGGCCGAGGAGGGATGCAAGGGTAGCCCTTGGGAAGGCTGCCCATCCTTACTCTGTGGGTTGACTGTGCCCCCCTCTGCGCGTGGCTGAGCGACGGAGCGGCGCCCCCGGTCCCAGACGTCGTGGCCGCGCCCGGACACCGGGCGGACCTCGCCGCTCGGCCGGCGGGTGGCGGGGGTGGGGGGCGCGGCAGGAGCGGCCTCAGGAGAGGGGAGTGGACGGCGCGGCCGTCGTCGTGAACATCCGCCGCTCTGCGGTTGATCGGGAGTTTCTGTATATATAGAAGAAGGGGCGCGCGCGCGCTTCTGGGCGAGAGGGAAACGACCGAGAGAAGAAGGGGCGGCCGCCCCACAGGACCTCTCCATGGTGCCGGAAGCCCATCAGGGCTCCCTCAGGGCCCCTCCCCCCGGGCCGGGGCTCCCTCGCCTGCCCCCTCCCCCTCCTCCTCCTCCTCCTCCTCCTCCTCCTCCTCCTCCTCCTCCTCCTCCTCCTCCTCCTCCTCCTCCTCCTCCTTCGCCCCCGTCGGCATATCCAGGCGTGTTATGCAGTCAGGTCGTCCGTCCGGAAACGGCGCCGGAGGCCGCTCTGGGCTCCTCTGGGCATCCCCCCCGGGGCCCGTTTTGTGAGGATTTCTCAGGCGAGGGCGCCGGTTTGGGATTCGTCACCGGATCCAGCGGATCCAGCGGATCCAGCGGATCCGTCCGGAAACGGTGCCGGAGGCCGCTCTGGGCTCCTCTGGGCACCCCCCCCGGGGCCCGTTTTGTGAGGATGTCTCAGGCGAGGGCGCCGGTTTGGGATTCGTCACCGGATCCAGCGGATCCAGCGGATCCAGCGGATCCGTCCGGAAACGGTGCCAGAGGCCGCTCTGGGCTCCTCTGGCATCCCCCCCGGGGCCCGTTTTGTGAGGATGTCTCAGGCGAGGGCGCCGGTTTGGGATTCGTCACCGGATCCAGCGGATCCAGCGGATCCGTCCGGAAACGGTGCGGGAGGCCGCTCTGGGCTCCTCTGGGCATCCCCCCCGGGGCCCGTTTTGTGAGGATGTCTCAGGCGAGGGCGCCGGTTTGGGATTCGTCACCGGATCCAGCGGATCCAGCGGATCCGTCCGGAAACGGTGCCGGAGGCCGCTCTGGGCTCCTCTGGGCATCCCCCCCGGGGCCCGGTTTGTGATAGACGGCATGTCTCCCAGTCGAGGGACCGCCACCCGGTTCTTGGATCTCGCTCACACGGATACCCAGCGGATCCAGCGGATCCGTCCGGAAACGGTGCCGGAGGCCGGCTCTGGGCTACCTCCCTGGTCATCCCCCCCCTGGGCCCGCTTTTTGTGAGGAGTGTCTCTGAGGCGAGGAGCGCCGGTTTTGGATCGTCACCGGATCCAAGCGGATCCAGCGGGATCCACCAGCGGACTCCCAGGAGCGTGGAGTGAGCCAGGAGGCCCGTCTCGTGGCTTCCTCTGGGCATCCCCCCCGGGGCCCGTTTTGTGAGGATGTCTCAGGCGAGGGCGCCGGTTTGGGATTCGTCACGGATCCAGCGGATCCAGCGGATCCGTCCGGAAACGGTGCCGGAGGCCGCTCTGGGCTCCTCTGGGCATCCCCCCCGGGGCCCGTTTTGTGAGGATGTCTCAGGCGAGGGCGCCGGTTTGGGATTCGTCACCGGATCCAGCAGATCCAGCGGATCCAGCGGATCCGTCTGGAAACGGTGCCGGAGGCCGCTCTGGGCTCCTCTGGGCATCCCCCCCGGGCCCGTATTCCATCTTTGTGATAAGCGTATGATCTTCATGCTCGTAGACGGTATGCGCCTGCCGGTTTGGGATTCGTCACCGGATCCAGCAGATCCAGCGGATCCAGCGGATCCGTCTGGAAACGGTGCCGGAGGCCGCTCTGGGCTCCTCTGGGCATCCCCCCCGGGCCCGTTTTGTGAGGATGTCTCAGGCGAGGCGCCGGTTTGGGATTCGTCACCGGATCCAGCGGATCCAGCGGATCCAGCGGATCCGTCCGGAAACGGTGCTGGAGGCCGCTCTGGGCTCCTCTGGGCATCCCCCCCGGGGCCCGTTTTGTGAGGATGTCTCAGGCGAGGGCGCGGGTTTGGGATTCGTCACCGGATCCAGCGGATCCAGCGGATCCAGCGGATCCAGCGGATCCGTCCGGAAACGGTGCCGGAGGCCGCTCTGGGCTCCTCTGGGCATCCCCCCCGGGGCCCGTTTTGTGAGGAGGTCTCAGGCGAGGGCGCATATATAAAACATGTTTCGATACCGGAATATCTAAATGACCATCTATACATATATACTAGCGGAATTCCGTGCGAACGGATCGTGGCGGAGGCCGCTCACTGTGGAGCGCTCCTTCCTCTGGGCATCCCCCCCGGTGCCCGTTTTGTGAGGATGTCTCAGGCGAGGGCGCCGGTTTGGGATTCGTCACCGGATCCAGCGGATCCAGCGGATCCAGCGGATCCGTCCGGAAACGGTGCCTGAGGCCGCTCTGGGCTCCTCTGGGCATCCCCCCCGGGGCACGTTTTGTGAGGATGTCTCAGGCGAGGGCGCCGGTTTGGGATTCGTCACCGGATCCAGCGGATCCAGCGTATCCAGCGGATCCAGCGGATCCGTCCGGAAACGGTGCCGGAGGCCGCTCTGGGCTCGTGCTCTTCGCGCCGGGGGTGAGGATGACGTGAGTTCCACAGAAACTCCCTCAAACGATACTGGCAACCTGTCGGAGGGGACGTAGCTGGAGTCCACTACGTTGGTAAAACTGTAGCCGCTGCGCCAGTATCAAAGTTTAGCTTGACCCAACTCCCAAGAGAACGAATGCTGCTCTTCGAACTCATTGTTTGACACCACGAATCAGAACAACTCTCACCACCAAACGATCCATGAAGATCGAGAGGGCACAACTCCAACATCATCTCTTCTTCTGGTTGTTCTTGTCCGGGTTGTTCTTCACCTCCTGCAACTTCGAGTTGATCTGCCGACTTTGGTCCCCACTTGCTGCCTTTGCCGCCACCTTTGCTCTTCGACTTGCCACCTTTCGACTCACTCTTACCACCATCAGTGCGCTTGGGCTTCCAACAGTTCTCCGCCTTGACCGGTAATGCCACAGTTCCAACATACTGGACCAGTGTTGATCGCGCCCTTGGACCTGAACTTACCGCCCTTGTCGCCCTTGGACTTGCCCTTGCCTCCTTTGTTGTCGTGACCTTTCCCTTTGCTCTTGCAACCTTTACCGTCGCGAGGCATCGGTCCGACGTCCATGGCATTGGGGTCTGGTCGTCTCTGTTTGCCAGTCTGAACGTCTCTCTCCCGAATCTTCGCTCCAGTCCTAGCCTCGATGTAAAGCATAACCTCTTTGCGTAGGGCGTCGTAGTCTCTGATGCGAGATTGGTTCAAAAGAACGTGCTCCTCTAACTCTTCTGGAAGCAAACTTTCAAGAGCTGCAATCTTGATCTGGTCGCTGATGGTCTCTCGCTCTCCTGCGTCGTCCTTGCGACGCTCATACTGAGAAACCTGATCTTCCCATCGTTCAAGAGACTGAGCTAAATTGTCCAGCGTACTGCGACATGGATTGAGAATCAAGCGAAGTAAGTTGCGTTTTCGGGCTCCCGTGGCTGGATCGTATCGTCTGCATGTCTTTCTCCAGGCCTCTAGTCCATTTCCTTTCGTCGAATTCATGACCAAGTCAAACGGTTCGTTTGACGTAAGCTGCTGCAGCGCGGCGTAGAACTGTGTGTTCTTGGGTTCGATGTCTGCGATCTGATCTGCATTTTCGCCCTCTCCCCAGGCTCCATTGATATCGTTGTCTGTGATCATAGTGTCCTGCTCCGAGGCCCACTCTAAGACTTCTCTGACATTCTCATCGAAAACGGAACACACAAATGATTCAAACTTAGCTTGCCACTCTCGCCAACGACTGTCATCTCCATCGTATTTGCTGGTTTGCCTATGCCACGAGTGTCTACCAATCTTGATCTCTGCTGTCGGTTCGCCATGTCCTGGCGCATGATCTCCACTAGGGCTGCAAGATCACCTGCTCCGCCCTGTGCTCCCGCTGCTCCTCGTTGCTGAAGTTCTGCTTGCAGGCGTTGACTCTCTGCTCCCAGCCGCTGAAGCTCTTGCTGATGACTCTGCTGCTGCTGAACGAGTAACTGCACCTGTCTGGTGAGGTCCTCCATTGTTAATCTCGAAGTCTATCTGCTCGTTGTATATCTCACGACGTCTCTTTAACTCGAGCAAGAGTTGTCCAACATTGGCCCACAATCTGCGTTTGAACGCGGTCCGCTTGACGTAGCGGGCGAAACGTCTCCACTCCACGATGCGGTGACAAGGCTCCGCGAGCTGATCTACGCCAGCTCTCTCCTCTTGAGGTCTCTCACTAGACTCCGAGTCGCTGTCTCCTAGAACGTTCCAATCAGCAGCAAACGAGCGGCTGGTGGCAGGAGCTCCGCATACCATGTAGATAGAATATGACTCTGTGATATGGGTCCTTTTCCAGCGCAGTGCCTGAAACGAGCCAAATGGTTGCGAAACGAATTCAAGACACACACACACACAACATGTCTGTCACCAAATGTACAACGCTCGTTACACACGTGCGTACAAAACGTGAGACGTGAGAATCGTGCTCAGCATATCCCACACTTCTGAAATATCTGCAAGGACACCCTTCGGATCCCTTAGGGAATCCATAGGATTCCTAACGAAATCCATCGGGTTCATAGGACATCCTTGGGATTCCTTAGGAAATCTTGAGGATTCCTGAACAAATCCATCGGACTCCTTAGGAAATCCTCCAAGATATGTGAAAGCAAGGTTCGGCAGAAACTATGACGCTGGCGCCGTTGCGCCAAGCGCCTTCGCCGTGCGCCGCGCAGCCTCCGCCTGTAGGCGATGCGGCTGCTTCCGGCAGCGAGTGTATGAGCGTGCGCACGTGCACTCTGACGGACGCAGGCGCTGTTCCGTCAAACGCCTTCGCGCCATGCTGTGTAACGAACAAGCCTCAATCAAACATATGCAGAAACGCACATGCACGTCATGGCGCTCGGGGTATCGGATTTCGGGCGCCCCCGCGCACAAGCCAAATATCTGCTGCCATTATTTCAACAGGAACCCACCGTGCTGGAATTCCTATGGTCCTACCACGGCATGTTCTTAGAACCCAAGAATGTTCTAAAAACAAAACAAATGTTCTTACAGCATCAATCTGATGTGTTAGAACAAGACAGTCTCAGCAAGACATGTTCAAATAACTGTTCGTGCAGACCGCAAAAGGTTCTTAGAACATTCTCTGGTGGCCTCTAAGCGAGTCAGAACGCGTCGCCACTGCTTGAAATATTGGAGTAGCGCAGCCCATACAAGTGCCGATTACAATAATCGTCTGGTCATGCTTGACGACTTTTCAACAGAGACTGGGACCCGAGATTCGAAGACATTGAGTCGTCCACGGTCTAAGCTCCTTCTACTCATCCTGCGAAATTCGACCCTGTATCCTCGAGAGATACCAGTGTTTTTGGTTCGCACGTGCTGTTGTGATTGATTGAATGTGTTTGTTGCCCCTTTCAGGCCTGAGGAAATCTCTCGAGGCCTCCAGGGAAACAAGGGACCTGGAAGACTTAGATGAGAACCCGAGGCCCCCTGCGCGCTCTCTGGACCTGCGAACGTTTGCAATCAGGCCCTTGCCGCACCTTCTCGACCTTGGAGACCCGGTACAAGAATCGCACACCCCAGCTGCGTTCTCTCGGCCTCGGAGACTTGGAACAGTGAGACTCCGGGGCCCCGACACGCCGCGTCCCTGCCTGCCCCACTCTCTTGGCCTCCGAGGCCCCGAACGATCAGCAACGCGCGCCCCCGCCACACCGTGGGAGGCCTGGACGCCTCTGTCTCGGCGCCTGGACCTGGGGCGGTCCTACGCCGCTCCGCTGCCTGGACCTGGGGCAGCCCGCGGGCGCCGGGCAGCGGCGATGGAACGGTCCGCGACGAATCTGGCGAGGAGACCCGCCGAGGCCGCCCTGGACGGGGGAATGGGGGTGCCGAGGCTGGCCTGGGCTCTGGAGGCCGCCTGTGCGCCACTCCGAGCCTTGCCATCCTCCCCCCGCCCCTCACTCGCTGGAGGCCTCCAAGATGGGGTCCGAGCAGAGGGGGTCAGAGGATCGCGCCGAATCGCCGATGCATCGGCGTCTGCGGCGTGGAGAAAATCGGGCTCCACATCCAGCCGCATCCGCGAGGCAACGGCGATGCGGCACGGTCCTCCGACCCCGTCTGACTACCTACCGGACCACCCCAACCCAACACGAAGACCCAAATTTCGCCCGAATGTCGGTTTGGGGAGGGTGCGAGCTTCATACATGTTTTGTTCAATGTTCCCCGACCCCCCCCCACACGGCAAATGGAGGGCAAATCGAGGCCTTCGGGTTGGGTTGGGGTGGTTTGGTGGGCGGTGACCACCTGCTCGGACCCCACCTGGAAGGCCTATAGCCACCCGCCCCTCCCTCGCCCGGTCGCCCCTGGCTTCGCCGAGCCTCCGGGCAGCTCCACGGGCTGGAGCCACTGGCCCCCGCCCCCTTGCCAGTCCGAGGCGTCGCCGTCGTGGCGAAGGACGCGCTTGCACACTGGGCGCTCGCCTCGGGAGGTGCGCGTGGGAGGGGGGGGGTCAGGAGCGGCCAAGAGATGGGCGTCCAAGAGGGGGGGGCGCAAATCATGGCATGCGGCATGTGCGCGGCCCAAGGGGGGGGCCAGGGACGTAATGAAATAAGAAGAGGACGCGCCTGCGCACTGGGCGCTCGCCTCGGGAGGTGCGCGTGGGGGGGGAGGATGAGCGCTCACAGAGGAGCATGCATATAGTAGAGGCCAGACCACAAGAAATCCGCCGCAAGAAACGCAACCCTGAGACCCCAGGGCGTCCATCGATTTTCGGTGTGGGAACGTCACGCTTTCCATTGCAAAACCATGGCAACCCAAGGTGCTTCTTGGCATGGGCCTCCACTGTAGAGCAGCCGGTGCACATATTTTGTCGCGGACCTGGCGCACGGCGCAGGCCGGTCAGGCAGCACAGGGGCGGAGGGCCAGCGCACTTGGCCGCGCGAGGGCCGGGCGGTGGCAAGACGTGCGGCCGCGTGTGCAACCAGCTCTCGCCCAAGGCTGGCCAGGCCATTTGCGCCCAGCCTCCTGGAAGGACGGCTGAGGGACGAGAGAGAAGCGGAGGAGCGGTGAAGAGCCACCCTCCTCCACCTCGGCGCCTTCGGGTGGGGTTGGGTGGGGGGAGGCCCTCGTCGTCACGGTTGGATTCGCCTCGACATCCTGTTCGGAACGCAACCCAGGACAGGTCCAGGGGGTAATGTCAAGGGGGGGGTGATGTGAGACAGAGAGAGAGAGAAGGAGAGAAAGACAGAGAGGGAGAGAGAGGGAGAGAGAGAGAGAGAGAGAGGGAGAGAGAGGGAAAGAGAGAAACAGCGAGAGAGAGAGAGAGAGAGAGCGACGGAGAGAGCGAGAGAGAGAGAGAGACAGAGAGAGAGAGAGAGAGAGAGCGCACCCAGAGGCAAGGATGGGGTCGGCATCCTGCTCGTGAACTGTGCCGCTGGCCAGGAGGTGATGCGCCGCCCGTGCTACGGACAGGGGTGCTGGGCCACCGAGGTGCGTCAGCAAGCAGGCTCGACGCCAGGCCTCCACGTGATCCCCGACAACCTTCCATAAGGAAACGAAGAATGACAGAAACATAAAAACCCGGAGGTCCGCGCGGATTTCTCGGATCGGCGCCGGACCCGCCTCCCTGGCGCGCGGAGCGCGCCAGCCAAGTGGGGTCCAGCAGCGCGGATCCGAGAAATCCGCGCGG